GGGGGGGAACGGGGGGGACGTCTGGATACGGTCACTGCTGCTGCCTTGTTCTAAGTTCTGTCTTCCAGTAACTCCGGTGTCACCGGCTGCGCTGCGCCTGTCACCGCACGGTGCTCTGCGCCCCGTGACAGATGTGCTCACACGCTCCTTCCCAGTAACACAGGGATACAATGGTTAGGAATTGGGCATCTTGCAATCCCTTCAGTAGGAACTGCTAGCTGTGTGGATGATCATATCCTTCTTTCCCGATTTTTTTTTTTTTTTTCTTAATGGAATACATTTTAAAAATAAAATGGCTTTAATAAAGAAAGAGGAACTGGGGATGGAAAGGGCTTCTTTGTTCTGTCTTCTCCAGAACGTTACAAGTCTAAGAGCTCAGGACAAGAGCAGCAGAAATACATGCAACATGGTGACTGGTGAGTCCAGATTGTCCACATGCTGCAAGTTGTGTGTGTGTTTTCAGTAACCTCAGTCTAAGTTTTATGAACTAACCGTATGTGCTCATGATCTTCAAGGAGTTTCTTCAGCCTATTTCCTGGAAAAAAATGCAGTTTTGATGAACAGGGAGGAATTACCTCCCTTTATTGCAGAAAGCTTATTGCCTGGATGCTATCTCTTTATTTTAAAATGCAGTATTAAAAACATGCTGCTGAGATCTAGTGAAGATGGGTGTTTGCTGTTCCTAATGCAGGTCTACAGGATAAATGGAATGCATAAATTAGTATGTCTTAATGACTAACAGTAAAAGTGGCAATTGCAGCAGCAAGCTGTGTATGTTGCCCTACAAAAGCATGTTGAATGCACACTTGAGCCTTAAAGAGGTTTTCTGTCATAAGTGCAGGTGGGTTTAGTTTTAATAAATAAAATTCGGGGGGAGTACAGCATTACTTTCCTGACTCTTTGTTAGATCTGGTACCTCTACTGCTGCGAAGGGTTCTGTAAAGTGCATTTTTGAGGAGCTCAATGCTTTTAGTTAAGTAACTCCACGCAGCCTTCAAACTAACAGTAGCGACTGTGGGAGAAACTTAGTTCAGACTGCACTGTTACCTGCGGTGTCTTTAGCTCCTTTCTGATTGCCAGAGTTGTAGAGCTGTAGAGAAAACCAAAGGAAGATCCTGCTGCTCTTCCGGAGCAGGAACAAATACCACGTGGCGCAGTGGGGTTCTGGTCCATGGTTGGCACACTGAGTGCTGCAGTGGCTCAGATGAGCATTTAACTGTTTTAGGCGTTAGCGGCTCTCAGTGTAGTAACTTCAAGCAATTATAAAGCAAGATTTTTCCATGTTAGAAGAGAGGAAAAGAGAGATTCCTTCTGACAGTTTGTGACAGAGGAAGATTTGCTAACAGGGGAAGGCTGGCTCTTGATTTTGATGCTAAAAAGAACTAATTAAGATGGAGCAGCCAAGCAGGGTCAAGGACTTGTATCTAAGAAATTAATGCTGTGTTTGTTCTGCTTCCTGGTGGTTGGAAGAGGTAGGTGACAATTTGGTGGTGGACCTCTTTTTGATCTTTGTGCCTGCTGCTTATGCGTCTGGGTTTGTGGTGGCTTCTGGTCTCTGCTGGACAGGGGCACAATGTACCTGTGAGCAGCTCTTGACATAAGGGTTGGAGTTCCAAAAAGTAAAAGCACGAGGGCTAATGGATAGCTGCTGTTGAAAATAGTGGCCCTGCTGACCTCCCCACTCTCTCCCTTGGCAAGATTAACAGAAGGTGAATAACTATACCCTGAGCCGTTCCAACGTAATAAGCACCAATGCAGGAGAAAGGAAGAAGGCAGGACCTTTGCTGAGAGGTGAGTCCATCCTATTCAGCAGCATCTAGCTGTCAGATAGCATATAATCTCAAAGAGCACCTGTAGTGTTCACCTCTGGGTTCCCAGCCTGGCATTCTTGAGGTTTATTCCTCAGAGGAGTCTTCCCTCTGAAAGCTGTGTCTGCTAGTGCACCTCAAAGTGGACGTGCAAAATGCTTGTGCTCTTCTGAAAGCCTCAATGTAGTATTGAAATCAAATATTTGCAAGTCTGAAGTAGGAAATCAGGACAAGTTAATTGCTCAAAATCTGTTTTCCAGCTTCCGAGTATGTAATGGAGCATCTTACAATTAGATGGAAGATGCATTCAAGTGTGCCTGGTGTAGGTCCTGTCTGAGTCACTGAGGATGCACTAACAAGACTGTTCTCCATCGGTTCCAGCTTGGATGTATGGTCACCTGGGAAAGGGTTAACAATGTGTCCTGTGGAGGTGTAGAGTATTGACTGAGCAGTCAGTAACGCTGCCCCTTTGGTGGGGAAAGGCGAAGGTTGAGCTTACAGAGGTACTTAGTTTGTGCTTGCGTGGCTCCTGGAGGAAACCTCACTCTGCAGCTAAGTGAATAGTCTTACTGGTTCTATCACGCACAGCTGGCTTGAAAATGTGTCAGACCAGAATATCTGAAAGGCAGGAGAATTGTGTTTCTGTCCAGCCCTGAGTTCTATGGGACCTTCTGTATGCTGATTTTTACAGCGTTGTTGTGTTTACTAAGTGAATGCTGTTAGCTGGTGCTCTTTACTAAACATTGATACATGTTTTAGGAATATTTTCTGTAGTAATCTCATACAGCAACAAATGTTGCTTAATAACTCTAAAAACTGTAGATAAAGCGCAAGTTGCCTCATGTATTCCCCTTACCTTTGGTATTCATTCTTTCTCCTGTGAGCCTGGTCCAATGCACTAGCCATGAACCTCCTCCATGTAAACAAAAACTTCTGTGTGTTTAGACTGCTGTCACGTAACAGTAAAGAGTGGTTAGAATTTGCTCTAGCTCCCACTGATTTTGGTGGAAATTGGAGTTGGACTTGCGGAATATGCTTGAGTGCCACTGAGAGCCTAGAACTAGCTCCCATTTTCACACAGGCTGTTGGCAGTCTTATGTTCAACCACATATTTCTGTCTTGGTTCCACTTTGTTAAATCATGGTGAAATGATACATACGGTTCTGCTTTTCACACCTGTTCTCTTCAGAACTACAGTCATAATGTACACATAGTGATGTTTGTCCCTTTTTCTACCTTTCCACAGCTTGCTGTAGTAGTACTGAATTGCCTCTTCTAGTCCTAATCTTGTGCCGTTTCACATCTTTTTCACAACCATCTCAGTATCTGGTAGTGTTATAGCTCAAATCTATTTATACTTTATCAAGACTAATTAGTGCTTTAGAAACAACCAGTATACTCACTGCAGAAACAATTTGTGGGTTTAAACAAGATAAGTCAATAACAGAAGAATGCTGTCAGAGTATACCCTAGAGCTGTCTAATGTTCTCAGGTGGAGTAATCTCTTTTGTTGTGTTTGGCGTTTTTTTTTTGTTTTTTTCTTCCTTGTTCTCACTTCCTCCCTGATCATCTGATTTCTTTTTTTTTCTCTCTCTCTTGTCTTCATACATGGCATGTTTCATGTTAACCTCTTCCTATATTAAAAGGACATCAAGAACTGATGCTGCTGTTGCCTTTGTCATTTCCAGAGCTCTGCTTCTCCATGTGTATAGTTTCCTGTTTGCGGAATCTCTTCATTCCAGTGCTCTCCTTTTGCTTGCTATACTCGAATCGATAAGGCTGTCCTAGTCCTAATAGCAGTGGGCTGAATGCTGCATCTGATCCTCTTCCGTTGTGCTTCCCATCAGCTGCCTAGAATAGAACTGCATGGCCTGATGAAGCATACTGCTCGGTTCTCCCACCTCTGTGGCTGCAAAGCAGGGCCACAGATACTGATTTCTAAGCTTCTCTCACTAATACTGCATGCTGCCAACAAATTAAATGTGTGACTTGATTTCATCTGTTAAGGGAATCGCGTGGTCTGGGTGCAGTACAATGCTACAAGACTTTACATGGCAGTGAACTCTTCAAATAGTACTACAGTTACACCTGGTTATTGTTCAGACTTCCCTGAGCTGCTAAGGGTTAATCTCAGAAATGTATAGTAGCACAAGATGCCTCATAAACCCAAGTAAAATCAAAGCATCTGTCTTGGGCATCTGGCTATGCATGTTTGCTAGTTTTCATACGGTACTTGGTATGAGAAATTAATTACTGGAATTGGGAATATCCTTGCAACAAAGGAGTGCTGTAGTTAAGACTTTACTTTCTCTTTCCTTAAGGAACCCTAAGGACCTTGCAATATGAATAATTCTCTGGAGAACACCATTTCCTTTGAAGAATACATCCGTGTGAAGGCGCGAACGATCCCCCAGCACAGGATGAAGGAGTTTCTGGACTCCCTTGCTTCCAAGGGGCCGGAAGCTCTGCAGGAGTTTCAGCAGACAGCCACCACCACCATGGTGTATCAGCAGGGTGGCAACTGCATTTACACAGACAGCACAGAGGTGGCTGGGTCTTTGCTTGAACTTGCTTGTCCTGTGACAACCAGTGTCCAGCAGCAAACTCAGCCGGAGCAGCAGATACAGGTTCAGCAACCCCAGCAAGTCCAGGTAAGCATCTTAAATTGTCTCTAAACGTATATGTGACTCGCTAACCCATGGAGCGGTGTTCAGAGCCAGCTACTGTCTAACCTGAAACCACAGGCAAGCACTTAATAAGCAGGCCCAATTAACTTTATATAGAACAGCACTATTTGTCTTTCGCTTAAGGAATTTGGTAGTAAATTTCTCTATTGACTGTGCCTCCGTTGAGCCCTGCTGTAGGAGGAGTAGCATACATAGCAATGTCGTGGTGTAACCTACTGGAGAAATGGTTGACAGTTCTGGCATGTGCACAGCTCCCCGAAGCCTTGCATTCTCTGTGAAGCTGCTATAAATACCACCCCCGTCTGCTGGTCTTACTTCATCTGGTTGTTCAGGGTGGTCGTGGGATCTAACTCACCTTCAGGTTTTTCTTAATGCAATCCGTACTCTTTTAAAATTTTTTGTTTGAACATTCTAAAAGTTGTAGTTCTTGAACTGGCTTTTAAGTCAGGGCGAAAAGCGGGGGAGTCAACTTATTATATAAACTAGGGGAAGATACCTTTCGGGAAAGGAACTCTAAAAGATGCATACATGTCAAGGTAGATTATCCCTTTTCACGGTGGAAGGAGTCTTCTCCATTTATTTTTTTTAATAGGTATTGCAGTAATTTTTTATTAAGTATTAAATGAGCAAATCCGGCACCAGAGAGGGAAAAAAAAAAACCCAAACATGTAACTTGGGATAACTGCTTTGGTCCTCAAACCTCAAATTATGAAATAGGAGTTTATAGGTGGCAGGGCATTTATTAAGGTTTTCTTATGATATGTCTCCAAACAGCTGAATTCTGTCTACAGCTGTAATTCTGTGACACTTCAGATATGAATCTTTTGCCTTCTGTAGCATGAATGTAAAGTTGTGAGCTCTCTTCTTTTGCAACAAATGAGGGTATGGAGACACAAATGACTGGAGATAAGGTAGTGTGAACTTGCTGCAGTGCAGTAGACTTGTGCTAACAGCTCACTTGCATGCTTTTATCCTACAGCAAAGACAAACTTGCCTCTTTCACTGGGTAACTCGTCTCCAATTACTCTTTCTATTGAGTAAATGAATGCCTAACTGGGACTTCTGTAACCTGTTGCCCTACAGTAACTTGTGTCGTAAGGCATTTGAAGAATAAAAGCCTCTAGTTTCAGAGACATGACTCTGTGTGAGTCTCTTAAAACTGATTAACGGTGCTTTTGGTTCTGCTGGCTAGCCCTTTTTTTTGGGAGAAGTTTCATTTTTCAGTGGAAGAACTAGGAGAGTTACCTTCTTTTGGGTGCCTCAGGCTTGAAGATGTGGAAGGCCCCCAAACCAGTTGTAAAAGTCAGAAGGATTTTTTTTCTTTTTTTTTTTTTCTCCTGCTGCTGCCTCCTTTCAGAACTACTCAAAGTTCAGGCTTGACCCTTGCAAGTCTTCTAGTAACAGAGATAGGGAGAGAGGTCATGTATCATATGCTCCAGAGAAAACTAATCTCCTGACCTTCTTGAAAATAACCATAGAGTTGCTGCCAGAGACCTGTTCCTGTTTTTTAAACTGAATGGCCTGCACCCTGAATATGAAAAATACCTGATGAAAGTCAAGATTTCAGCAGTTTTCCTAAAGAACGTCATCCAGTCTCTCCCCCTTGTTTTTGGTGTGACTCTACTTTAAAATATCTGGTTTCACATCTGTCAGTACAGATCATAATTGGTGTTTGTGTTGCCTTCTCTGCCACTCACTTTAGGATGTTACAAACCCCCAGAATACTTAGGTGGCACATCTGGTACTAGATATGGCTGCAGCTTTTGTTCGTCAGCAGTGCATCTGGATTCATATGTATTTCAACAGCTAGCTCAGAGTTATCGCGAGGTTTTGGTTGGGGTTTTTGGGTTTTTTTGTTTGTTTGGGTTTGTTTTTTTTTTTTGCAAGGATGGGGTGGAGAGACATGTCTTTACCCCTTTGCAAAAGTATTTTTCTGTATTTCAAGATTTCTTATGGAGACATGGTTTACGTTAAACCCATGATTTAGAGTTCACCTGTCTCAAGACTATCACTGCAGTAGCAGTAGTAGCAGAGCAGTGTCTGAACAACGCTGGATTTTGTTGTGATTCTGGGGTGACTGTGTTCCACTACAGCAGTGCACCTGACCAGCTGGCTTGCTTTGCTAAAATGCTGCTTGTGTTCTATTATGAGAAATTTTGGTCATCCGCTGAAGCCTTTTAGCTTTTGATCAAACTTATGTCATCCTAGTACTTGACTTGATAATCTGTTTAGTTCTTGCTAATCCAATTGCAAATCAGTGGAAGACCCTTTGAATGACTACACTTATGTCTGGCAGTGTGACAATGGTGCTGAAGGTGACTAATAATATGACCGGTCAGATGACCTCAGGGTTGCAAGTGCTGATGACAACAGCACGATCGTAGAGATAGACAGATGGTGCTCAGGTTTCATCCTAGATTTTACTTGCTGTGAACAACCAAAGGCAGTGCGTGACTGCTTGCTGCTTTTATTTATCCTGGCAAAATAAATTTCCCCTTTGAAGAAGTTGTCACCTTAGGGTTTTCTTGCCTAAAAGGTTCAACAGGCTGTTGCCAAACGTTTATTTTAAAGACTGAGTGGATGCAACTGTTGGGTTACATACTAGTCAGTGCTACAGTACAAGTGTCTTGGAGCGCCTTCCGTGCCCAGTGTCACAGCGGTGCCATTAATGATCTTAAGAAAGAGTTTAGTATGTCAAGTTGTCATACCGTGTGCTGCATCAGAGAGTGGCTGGGAAGGGCTGTGTTTTGCTTCAGTCAAGTAAGAGTTTTATCAGCTCCGGTTAGGATATGTACAGTGCATGTGGGGAAGATCCTCAATTTCATCTTTCTTTAAGACAGAGTCTGATGGCTGGGTGGCAGGAACTTCTTGGATGGGGCTTGTGGGGAGGATGCCACAGATGAGCAAGAGTGCAGAACTATATAGGGAATGGTTACATGTAAAGTGTCTTTCAGTTATGGTTTGTGCCTTTCTAATTGCTCAGGTCCGTATGGGTTTACTGTTCAGCTTTTTCAGTCTTCCTCCAGTCTATTCTGTGACTTCAGACCATTATAGGAAGCTGGGCATTATTAATGACATAAGGTGGGGAAAGATGCCCTTAAGTAGCTCAGAAGAAAATCTTATGTCAAGCTCTGCACAGAATGTATCTTTCCTTCACTTCTGATGGATGCAGCTTCCCCCGCCTCAGTTTTGGTTCTGAAGTTTAGCCTGAAGGTAGGGCTCCTATTACCTTACCTTTGAAAAGCTTTCCAGAAGATATTAGTGTAGCAGCTGATATTAATTAACATTTGCTAGGGCTGAGTGTGCCACTTCAAATAATGTTTATAGTCAAGAGTGGTGTTTTCAAGGTAGCAGCTACTTGTGTGTGGAAGTAGGTTCCTCTTTGAGAGGTAAGGTGTTTTGTTTTCCCTGGTTCACGTGTTTTAACTGTCTCGGGCCTAAATCCTGCTCCAGTGTACAGCTTGACAACGTGATCTTGATATTGTAACTGTTCAAACACACACAAGGCCTAATTTGGCCTGTGGAATTCTCTCTCTGATGTTGATGAATGAGCAGAGGAAAAACCTGCAGTGAGAATCTGTCTGGCAGTTGTTCTGAAAAGCTGACTTGTACACTCCCCGTAGACCTTGTTTACTTAGATAGATAGCAAAGGACTTCCTGTAAAGTAGTTGAATAACAAGTTCCAACATTTCCTGCTACTTCAGTGATCAGTCTTTTCACCTACTCTATGTGCTTCAGGTCTGTTTTGTACTTGTATGTGTGCTTTCTGGCATAACGTTAGAAGGAACTCGTTATTACAGTGTTAGTTTTGAATGCTTGAGTTGCTTTAGCTTAGGACAGTTGTTGAGAAAGGTGTATTTTAAACCTTCTCTCCTTAAATCGGGCTAAAAAATAATTGAGATGTGTTTGTGAAAAGGGGTGCTTAAGAGCCTGTCAGGTGTTCTAGAGCAAGCTAGATATCAGAAAATCCATACAGGCAAGAGTTGGTATGCGTGCTTATTTGGAGTTAGGTTTTAGGAAATACTAGGTAATCCAGTCATTCTACAGATGAGATTTTCTTTGCTTGGGAATTCTTTCAACTTAATTGTTTAAGAACTGCAGTTCTGCAGTCTGATTTCTTGTTGGGCAGAGAATCCACACAGGACAGACATGTTATGAGTCCTACTTGAAAGTTTGTTGGAGTTAGTCTATCAACCAGGAGGAAAAAAAAACCAAACACAAACTTTTGGAAACCAGGCTTCAGCTATTCTCATGCTCATGGAATTATTTATTTTCTCTTTGTGTGTGCTTGGTTGTAGACAGAATATATATTTGAGCTTAATGTGACAGAAGATTGCCTTTAGGGGAATCTTAAAAATTTAGTTCTGCCCTCCTGTTATGATGCAGGCCTGACTTCTCACGCTTTTAATTCTCTAGTCAGCTAGTACTTGGTCCAACTTTTAGCTATTTTATGGTAAAAAGGCATTTTTCTTTGTGATGGTAGCCTGCTGGGAAGTGATTCTTTTCATGCTGTTAGATCCAAACTTCTGGCAATAAGCAGGTTTTCAGTACTGGTAACTTGGCATGTTCCTTGTACCAGTATAACCCAGGAATTCCCAGCATAACATGTTCGCGCTTTAATCTTCAGCATAAGGTGAAGATTTAAAGTCCTCCCTGTTGGTCTTGGCCTGTAAATTTAAAGCATTCCTCATTTTACAGTCTTTTAAAAAGTGAACTGCTGCTGATGTTTATTGTAGTCCTTTGTCCTTTTTTTCTCAGATAGCAAGTTGGACAATGAGGTCAGTGTAAGAAGCTCGGGTTTCAGACTGGATTTGAGTGGGTAAATCTGAAATGAATGCTTGTAGTGCTCCTGGGTACAACCTACTTGAAAATAGGGAGGAATCTACTGCAAAATACAGCTGTTAAAAATGGATGTGTAACTCACAAGGGACACATAATGTGCGGTAGGTAGAGCTCCACTATTCTTTTAAATAGGAGCAGTCTCTAGTCTGAAGCGTGATGTCTGCAGTTTGCAGCATGGAGAACTTCCAATGATTCTGGAGTCTGACTTCATCTTATTTGGGTCTGGACTCGTTCTTTGGGTGTTAACAGTAGTACTGTGTGAACTCTAAAGCAGTAGCAAGACATGCTGGTTGTGTAGGGCGTAGGATTTAGTCCGGGGAGGGTATCATAGGGCCTCAGGTCATGATTGCTCATCTGCTGAAAGTGATGGAAGTTGCCCATGACTTTTAGAGACAGTAGGCTTATGCTATAAAATGGTTAATGGTTCAAAGCTGTGCCAGGGGAGGTTTAGACTGGACATTAGGAAGCATTTCTTTACCAAGAGGGTGGTCAAACACCCAAACAGGCTTCCTGGAGAGATGGTCGATGTCCAAATGCCTCTTAGACACTGAAAGGCTTGGGGCAATGTCCTTAATAACGTGATTTAGCTTATGGTCAGCCCTGAAGTGGTCAGGCAGTTGAACTAGATGATCATTATAGGTCCCTTCCAACTGAAATACCCTATTCTGTAAAAGCGGGAGGAAGAAAATGCTGTCTTGTCGGGTCTGTTCTTAGACCATGCCTCTTTTGCTGACCATGCCTCCTGCTTAATTCTATTCCATTACCTTTCTAATTGCACTTGTGTGATAAAATGTGTATCACAGTTTCAGTGCAGGAGCAGACTTTCAATTCTTACTGCTAGCAACAACAAATATGTAGTCTTTGTGTATGTTACAGCAGTAACATCAACTATAATGTAAAATTTTGTATGGAAAGAAGGTGATGGTACTTCTAGGGTGTTCTCAGTCAACCTGTGCAGGTTCTGAAAACACACTGCAGAAGTACAGGATAAATGACACATTTACTTCCTTCTGTGACATGATTTTGCATCCTAGTAGATAAAGCAAATGCTTCTTATGTGAAACTGAAAATATATCAGTGCAGTAATGCATTTTAGTTTGTCTAGTCTTGGACATTACCTTGCAGGTAATCTTTTGAACAAAGACTTAAATTAATACTAAGGACTGTATTAGTGGCTCTTAAAATCAGGTATTTTGGAGAATACTTGCATTAGAGGTGTAATTGAAACTGGCTTTCTTAAACTGAATTCTTAACTGGGATCTGTGCTTGGGCCAAGGCAGTACTCGTGCTGTAGGGCAGTATAAGAGTATCAAATAGAACTGAAGAAGCATCCCATAGGTGACTTCATCTTTTTCAATTAACTGCCTGATCAAATCACTCATTGGTGCAGCTTTTTAAACTGTCATGCTGATACAAGGTCATATTTTTTTTGTTACCTTGCAGGAAATTATTATAGAAAGTCCACGTCATCTGGATTACAGTATACTGCATATAATTCCCAGCAGGAACCTGTAAAATTCCCTATTTTTCATGGAAATGGAATTAGCTCTTAACAGGAGATGACTTATAAAGCTGGTCTGCAAGTGATGCATTTTTCTATCCCTCTTTTTTCCTTAGCAATTCTTAATTGGCTGCAAATGAATCCTTAAGATTTTAAAAGACTTCTTAGAGGTGATGTTGGGAAGTGAGATTTCGTGTATCTGTGCAATGCAAACCTGGGTGGTAGCTCTTTCTGGTATTGCCAGGCTTGACGACCTCGAAAGTGAGGTAGAAAAGGGTGAGAGAACATGATGAATAGGAAGACAGTTTTACAACTAAATAAATCTTTGTTGGCTCCAAACTTCATATGGCCCTCAGAGGTGCCACTAACAAAGCTCTACATCTCTCCATTGGATTTGAAAGGAGTAAAGTAATTAATTCCGTCCCTTAAGATATAGTATTAAGGAAGCCTGGAGAAGCAGATGATCTTGGGAACCTCGGAGATCACTTCTAGGACAAGGCAAATGCAACAAAGTGGCTGTGTAAATGTATGGGGACAGAGTGGTGAAGTGTCTGGATGAGGCACGTGGACCTCACTTGGTGCCCTGGCAGTGAAGATACCAGCTGGGTTGGGTTCGAGGTCTGGCATGTGAAGTTCCTGAGACCTGAACTTTGTGTTAGGGGCTACCCCTGACTCCTAGCTTTAAGTCTGGTCCTGGACTGCTGCTAGATAGTGTGATAGACCTTGGACAAATGAGCATTGAAGTGAGGGGGTGTGATGTATTTTTTTTATTTTTTTCCCTAAAATTAAAGGAACTGTGTTTGAATCCAAGTCTTAAAATATTTTGTCCGTGTTATTCAGCATTGTGTAAGTGCATGAGCTAGAAAATACAACTGAATAATTTGGACAAGAAATAGAATTAAATGGAATAAGTAAATAATGAAAAAAAGAATTGGTTTTAGTTATCACTGCCAAAGAATTACTTCTGAAGTTTAAAAAACAAATGCTGCAGTGTTGCCCCTTAGCGGATGACAAAGATTCAGGCTGAACTTGCAGCTTTCTGTGGTGACACCTGCTTGTGTAGTGTTACTGTTAGTGATTGGTTTCAAAATAATATTTCTGTGCTTTATGCGGAAAGAGCCAAGTGCTGGTTTCAACTTACCCATATTTCTTACTGCCTGTCACTGGCAAGTGATCCTGCGGCCATTTGGGGGACTGGGGTTGAAGGCAGCAAAACAAACTTTAGAGCATAGTAAGAATGAGGCGAGCTCCTGTGTTTTGTAGCAGATACGCTTTATATGAGAGTTGTAATGTGTGTGACCTTAAGGTCTTGCTATTGTAAGGCCTACGCTGAAATAACATTTTAGCAATGCAGATAGCTCTGAAGACTCTTTTGGCTTCCAAGGATGCAGTCTGTTGGCTTGAGCCCACAGAACTTTGAGGATGGAGATGCAGCTCACGTGGTGTTCTGTTCTGTCTGTGCTGAGAAGTGTAGTCATGTGCAACACTGAGCAAACACATCATCTACTGTATTGCTGTTCTCAACCAGGCACTTCTAGAGTAACTTGGTTTCATTTTCCTGAGATCTTTAGTAATGGATTAACACGTGGAATCATAAAACTGAGCATAAAAGACCTGGCGTGTAGACCTCCAGTCGTGGGCCATCTCTGTTGGTGGCCCCGCTGTTGAATCACTGACACTTGCTGATCTCTAACTGTTGAATTGGTGTCATTGCAGGTTCAGGTCCAGGTCCAGCAGGCACCACAGCAGGTCTCTGCCCAGCAGCTCTCTCCACAGCTCACTGTCCATCAGGCTTCGGAGCAACCAATACAGGTCCAAGTGCAGATCCAAGGCCAGGCGCAGCAGCAGGCGTCCCAGACAATACAGAGTCAATCTCTTCAGAGCCCCAGCCCATCTCAGCTGCAGGCAGCTCAAATCCAAGTGCAGCATGTGCAGACTGCCCAACAGATCCAGGCTGCGGAGTTACAGGAGGAACATATACAACACCAGCAGATCCAGGCCCAGCTTGTGGCAGGACAGGCCATTACTGGTGGCCAGCAGATACAGATCCAAACAGTTGGGGCACTGTCACCTCCACCTTCTCAACAAGGCTCTCCACGAGAGGGAGAGCGGCGGATCAGCACTGCTAGTGTCCTTCAGCCAGTGAAGAAGCGTAAAGTGGATATGCCTATTACTGTATCGTATGCTATTTCAGGGCAGCCAGTTGCCACAGTGCTGGCCATTCCTCAGGGCCAGCAGCAAAGTTACGTCTCTTTAAGGCCAGACTTGTTAACAGTGGACAGTGCCCACCTGTACAGTGCCACTGGGACCATTACTAGCCCCACTGGAGAGACTTGGACCATCCCCGTTTACTCTGCTCAGCCACGTGGTGACCTTCAGCAGCAAAACATAACCCACATCGCCATCCCTCAGGAGGCCTACAATGCCGTCCACGTAAGTGGCTCGCCAACGACACTGGCTACTGTGAAGCTGGAAGATGACAAGGATAAGATGGTGGGAAGTACTTCAGTAGTGAAGAACTCTCACGAGGAAGTGGTGCAGACTCTTGCTAATTCGCTCTTTCCAGCGCAGTTTATGAATGGCAACATCCACATTCCAGTGGCGGTGCAGGCTGTGGCAGGGACGTACCAGAATACAGCACAGACAGTGCACATATGGGACCCGCAGCAGCAACAGCAGCAGCCCACACCCCAAGAGCAGGGTCAGCAACAGCAGCAGCTACAAGTCACTTGCTCAGTAAGTTAAAACTGCTTCTCGGTCTCAGTTGGTGATTAACAACTTGTGAATGTTGTGGAGAGGGAGGATGCCAGCAGAGGGCTGGTATCTAGGAAGCAGACATGCGTCTGTCCCAGTAGCCTGGGCATGACGTAGGGCATTTGACTCCTGATTGGTGTAGGACTGCGATGTGTTAATGTTGGTACGTAACTAGGATTCAGAATTTCCCAAAAGAACGTACAGTCTTGATCTTCGTAGTATAAATTGATAGATACTCCTAGTTTAAATTAAAACATACATGCTCATTGCTATCTTCCTTATGGCAGGTAGTACAGGGTCTGCAGTCTTCTGAGCTGTTCTGGGGGTTGCAGTGGACAGGCAGGGATGACTGCAGTGAAGTAAGGTGTCAAATATGCTAGTCACCTGGTTATCAGTTACTTTGTGTTACACAGCCCGTGGAGTCTGCAGCAGACCCAGAGCCCAGGTAAAGTGTTGAAATCTGTCTAGTTGTGAGCAAACGTCATGGATCAGATGTACTGACCTGTAACGCCATGTCCTGTTTCTGGTAAATGCCTGGTGCAAGAGCACAGTAACGAGCAGGGGCAAGTAAGAACCTCTTCATAGTGCTTGGCGAACGTGGCAGCCAAATTTGTTGCTTTTTTTTTTTTAAGGCTTTTACTAACTTTAGGCCATAGATTATTTTGAATTGGCTTTTAAAACTTGAATAACTAGGGCTATTAATGGCCTCTCTTATATGTGCAAATGGATGTAATTTATCTTTTATTACCAGAAAGTGAAAAGTGATTGATCTGTCAGAGCCTGTTTTTGCTGAATGGAATAAGGGCAAAAATATCTAAGTCTGCTAGCATAAATGTTGTTATAAATTCTTTCCAGTTTATAAATAACACTGTTGGCTTTATAAAGGCTTATATGCCTTCTACTTCATCAGTAAGCACTGAGACAAGAAGGATTACTTTCTTTAGTCATGTCTGATTGTTTCTGAGTTGATTGTGGGCTATAGCCCACCAGGGTCTTCACTGAAAAGGGTTCCCCACATCTCTAGGTAACTTGCAGGTGCTGGATGCCCTCTTTTTATAAAGCTGTACTTTAAGCTACAGCTTATGGGTCTGGTAATGTGTGGGATTTTGTTTGGTTGGCAGCTTTTTGTTTTGTCACATTCAAAGAGCCTTCTGTACCTCATCTTTTCCCTGTATTGGTACTTCAAAGATCATCATGTCATTGCTTTCAGCTGCTTGAACAAATTAAGTTGATAGAACTTTTTGCCTTTCTGCTAAACAGAATTTTTAGATTTATTCTAGGGTCTTTTAAGAGCATGAGCTGCATTCTTGGGATCCTTTCCAAGGTATTGGCTCTGTAATTTCTTTAATGGTTAATTGTGAAGCTTCTACTAACACATAGTGGTCTGCAATTCTTGGGTATCAGTTTTCTGATCCCAGTTCTCTGGAGTACTGGGTGTTGTATAAGCCCCTAAATACAGAGGCCGGTCCAGGAGGGACTTGTTACTGAGGTGAACATCAAACTTCTGGGGGTTGTCCCTCTCACAACTGTGAGACTGAGAAGGAATTTGCCTGCTTGCCCCACACGGTCCTCTGGCATTGTCCTGCTGTGGGATCTGGACAAGTTGCAGCTATTTTGGTCTATTTGTGAAAAATGTAAGTCAGTTAAGAAGCAACTGCCAGCTTGGTGAATTAACTCCATCCTGTGTGCCTGCCTTCACACTGGACAAGGTGTCTGCAAGGTCAGGCAGAAGATTGTCCCTTAAGTTGGGCTTATGGAGGTGGCTGGCTGGAAAGCTTTCTGCTCTCTGGAGAGTAATGGGGCAGCGCTCTGGAGGAGAGCGGAGGCTCAATCCTAGCTCCTACAGAGACAAGGTGTCATTTCACCCTTGGACTCCTGTCCTCTCCTCTTTAAGGCAGAGGCTTGCTCGACAACTTACACTTTGTCACCATCTGCCTTGTTAAAAGCTGGGCCCTTTCAGTTGTAGTCTCGCTGCTGCTGATGCAGGGGCTGATAAGCAAAGAGCTATTAAGAGCTGATGCAAAAAGAAAAAACAACCAGAGGCAGTCAGAAAGCTCCAGTCTGAGTCTCTTGCAGGCTTTGCCACTTCAGCTGTTTTTTTGTTATACTAAGTAAGGTATAGGTATTACTAAAGGCTCTATGTCATTTTCATTGTGGTCTATAGTACTGTCAGAGCAACTTTCACTGATGATTGACACTTGGCAGTATCAAAGGAAAAGTTACTTCATTATAACAAAGCCTTGCTTTTTGGGCTGCCTCTTAAGAAGAGGGAAGCAAAACTGTTTTGATGTAGGAATTGCTGTCTGTGTAACATTCAGGGTGCCACTGAGAAGTTGAGTAAGGGCTGTAAAGCTTCAAGTTAATCTCCTTAATGGAGGTAGCCATGAAACTTTCTGTGGCACGGGATTGAGAAGCTGTGGTGAAGAATGCAGAGTGAGTGCAGCTGGAGGGCTCACTGCTCTTTCTGTATAGGTGCCATCAATCGCCTGTAAAATAAGTTTCAGTTTGAGCTGGTAGTTCTTCGTGACTTAAGGGCCTGCTGCAAAGTAAACTTCCAAAGGGTCTGGAGACCCTTTAGGCCTATAGTAGGTCATACAGTAGCTCCTCACAGAATAGTAGCTGGTCCTCACAGCAGTATTTTGCCAGGGGCTGGCAGCCTGCATAGGTGTTGTGACTCAAGGCTGTTTCTGCAAGGGGCCTTGGGCCGCTCTTGTTGTACTGACATGATGGACTTTAGTGGTGGTTCAGAGTGACAAGTTAGCTGAAGCTGAGAAAAATGAATTAGAGCAAATAAGGCTTCAGAATAGACAGTGATCTATTTCGGTATTTCAGGGGAGACTAGAAGTCTGTTGTTGAGAGGAGTTTAGCCCTGTGAAGATCCTTGCCTTTGAATGTAGCAGCTCGCTTCTTAATGGTGTTGCAGCAAGAATGGCTCATGGCTGTTAAGTCTCCTGTGAGGTTCCGTAGGACTTCTAAATGCATCAAACTGCAAGTCTTGTGGATTTGCTAAAGGGGTTATTGATATGTCCCTTCAAAATAAAAGTGTTCTTGGAGAGACAAAATACTCTTTTGTGAGCAGCAATTCAGGTTAGACAGCAAAAGTTGCGTTCCTTGGATTAATTTCTTGTTCGAGAGGAGTGTTGCAAAAGACTAATATCCTGGGGCTAGAGGTATTGTGGCATTACTTGTTTTCTGTCAAACCGTTGCATGTTCAAGTGTATATATAAACTGAAATGTTTTCTTTCGTAGGCTCAAACTGTTCAGGTTGCCGAAGTTGAACCACAGCCACAGCCACAAACTTCACCTGAACTTCTACTTCCAAACTCTCTGAAGCCAGAAGAAGGGCTTGAAGTGTGGAAAAGCTGGGCACAGACCAAGAATGCTGAGCTGGAAAAAGAAGCCCAAAATAGGCTAGCACCTATTGGAAGTATGTGTCATGACAACATGGCCTTTCCTTCCTTTCAAGTAGGATTAGGAGTGACTAAAATGTTAGCTGTGTACTGCTCTGGAAAACACCTTTGTTTAATCAGTGATTGTTTTTAAATTTAAACTTTGATTTACTCTGCAGTACAAATTATTGCATACTCCCGCTGCCATAGGACATGTTCCAAGGGAGGTATTAGCTCTGTGCTGAGCCAACTTGGGCACCTAGGCTGGCAGCAGTAGGAAAGGGCACTGTGTGACTGTGGTGCATGGACAAACAAAATGGCTGTGAGCGCCAGCCAAGCTGGTGGGGCAGTCACAGAGCTGATGTTTTCTTACTGCTGCAGGGCAGCATTTCACTGTGGACATGGTAAAAGAAGGCAATAGTCATGCAGTTGGCAGGGCATAGAGTCTTCCTATGGGATTCTTGTCTGTTTATCTTTTAGTAGATTTGACAGCCTAAGATCTTGATTTATTTCAGCTTTCTTTTATTATACTGGGAGAATGAGGTAGTACTGGGCCTGCTAGATAGAAAGGCGAAGCTGGAGATGTGGGAAATCATTCTGAAAGATTGGGACATAATATGAATTTATGGCTTAGATAATACGGCTTTGTTTTGTTTTTCCAGGGCGTCAGCTGCTGAGGTTCCAGGAAGATCTCATCTCTTCAGCTGTAGCTGAACTGAATTATGGTCTATGCTTAATGACACGAGAAGCTCGAAATGGTGATGGTGAACCCTATGATCCAGATGTGCTCTACTATATCTTCCTGTGTATTCAGAAGGTAGGGGGAGGACGGCTACATGTGCAGCAGAGCTGTGCATATTGTTAGCATGTATAGGGAAGATTCTCTGTTACAAAAATGGAGACTGCGGCTTGTCTTTAGCTTCCCAAGAATTTCATAAGAAAAAAAAAAGTCTCTGCTTTAAAATAAATAAATAAATAAATTGGATGAAATGTAATTAGTGCACAGCAATGCTTTCACCTACTGAGTTAAGTTTGTGAAGAACTGTTAATAACTGAGTTCAATATCATGGTGAGAATAATAAATCCTTTTAGGTTTTTTTGATGTGGGGAGAAGGGCTGGATGATGTTTGAGGAAGTTGTCAGTGTCAAAACTTGATCTAGTTGAAGCTTTAACAGGCAAGAACTTAGCTTTGTGTGGTGTGGGAAGTCTGAGCTGGTAATATTAGTGTGCTTTCTGGAAAAGCTGCAGGAACAGAGCTAAACTCTGATAGGAGAATTGAGCATCTCTCTCCTTAACCTGAAAAAGTAGTGTCCAAAGGACAGTCATGTGAAATAACTTATTTTAGGTGTGTTCACTGCAAAAGGTGAAATCCAACCAGCTTTCCTTCTGAAGATGGTTATTCCCTGCTGTCTTAGTGTTCACACGATAGTAACTGAGATTACCTGCCCTGTACTGGCCTTGGTGCAAGGGTCCTCACTCTTGTAGGTAGAAGGTATTAGTCTTCAGTGCTGTGCTGTAAAATGCTTGACTAACTGGGTACATCAGCTCTTAGGGTAAGGTCTGGTCTGAAGAATATACTCATTACCACTGTACTGAACTATGTTGTGAATCTCTTACAGTATCTCTTTGAAAATGGCCGAGTAGATGACATCTTCTCAGATCTCTACTATATTCGGTTCACTGAATGGCTGCATGAAGTTCTCAAGGACGTACAGCCCCGCGTTTCCCCTCTTGGTAAGAACTTTTGTTTAAGAACTTTAAAACTTTCTGGAGTTTGGAATGTTTAAACTACAGCATGAGTGTAGTCTGAATAGAAACCCTTTCGAAGTACTTAATGTCCCTGAGACAGCTCATTTTGGTCAGGGAGAAAAATGTTGCGTCTGTAGTGAATGCTGGGGTTACTGCACGTGTCAGGCTCTAGCCCTGATTGTCGCTGACGACTATTAGTCTGTCACCAATCAGAAGGCATATTGTTGGGACTTTGTAGTGTCATGAGGTTGGCTTACTTGGAATCCAGCTGATCCTTGATCTGAACCAAGCTTCCTCGTCTGAAGTACTAATACACCTTGCCTCTCATATGTATTGTTACTTTGGGAGGTAATACAACGCTGTCACGTTGCTGCATAGCCAATTGGATATGGTCTGCAGGACTAACTGGGTGTCAAAGAAAAAAACAACGCGTGATTAGAGCCTCGAATACTGCAATCAAATGCAGCTCATCTCAGCCCTGTGTTTAGAAGATGATGGCAACAGGGGTGGGGGAAGCAGTTCCAGAAGAGACAGATTTTGACAGAGTTGCATATGAGAACTAGATTAAGAATTGCATTTTCAGACCATGGAAACCTGGTTTCTCATTACGTCATTCCCTTTGATCTGATTAGATGTCAGTGAAGAAGCTATTGCTTGTGTTCAGAAAGGTAGCTGATGTTACAGGCTAGATGGCTAAGTAGCACCGTGAGTTTTGGAATCCTTTTGTTTTCACTCTGGCTGTTTGATCTGTGCTTTGTCATTCCACAAGCCCCAGAGTTCATACTGCTGTCTGTTTTTCTGTTTATCTGTGTATTTGGAATATAGTATTTCTCTTCTACACAAAAGAAAAAAATCTGAGAATCAAAGGATTACTCATGTGTCCAAATACATCACTTGGCGCTGTGTGCTGACTAAAGCTGCGCACAGGGCCAAGAGCTGATTTGTAACACTGGCCTGCCTGCTCTCACATATTATTGGATTAGAAGCATCTGCATTGGAGTTGAGCCATTAATTAAAAGCTGTTTAAGTGCATATTTATTTCTCTCTGGGCTGGGATGTATAGGCGTATTGCAGAAGCATAATCTCTGCAACTAGAGGTTGTTGATGTATGTATACAAGCGTTTCCTAACCATACCTGCTATTTAGAAGTTATTTGCACAGTAGTGAATCTTGACATCAGTGAGGATCTCCTACTCCTCTTAAGTATTGGAGAACATATAAACCTTACAGACTATAAAAGGCTCCTGTGTTCCTGCTGTGACTGTCTCCTGGCATGATGCTAACTTCCAATTTTTGCAGGTTATGTCCTCTCCAGTCATGTAACAGAAGAAATGCTGTGGGAATGTAAGCAGCTAGGAGCTCACTCCCCTTCCACCTTGCTCACTACACTGATGTTTTTTAATACAAAGTAAGTACTTAGGTCTTTGGGAATCTTGGGGAATAAAAGAACTTCAAACGCCTTGACAGGGTTGGTAGGAAACTGCTGCACTGGATCAGGGTGAAATCATGAATTTTGAATGGTTGTGCTCGGGGCCCTGTGGCAGCTCCATCAGGCAAAGAAGATGCAGTACACGGAAATGAGCTAGCAGAGGGGAAACTGAACTTGTGGCTGTTGCATGCTTTGCTGCTGGAACAGTCTTTAACGCAGTGTTGGTTTGAGCTTCAGCTGGCTCATGATGATGGCTCAGATAACTGCCTCGCTGTTGTGACTGTATCCTTTACTTGCCTCAATGTCCCGTGTTCTCTTCTTGCTGCTCAGATACTTCCTGTTGAAAACAGTAGACCAGCACATGAAGCTGGCCTTCTCCAAGGTGTTGAGGCAGACCAAGAAGAACCCTTCTAATCCCAAGGATAAAAGCACGAGTATCCGCTATCTGAAGCCTCTTGGCATACACCAGACAGGACAGAAAGGTAGTGTCTGGAAGTTTTCTTTGGGAATACTTACTTACTGGGCTTGAAGGAAGTGGATGAACCTGGAGATGTCTGCAGGTAGGGCCACAAGAACCCAAGGCTCTGCCAATTGCCTTCAGCCTAGCAGTGTGGGTTTTCTGTGCGTTCTCTCTGAGCGAGCATAGTACCTTCTAATAATAAGCCTGGAGACATACCTCACCTGAAGCATATAGGACTCATCAAGAGCTAAGGATAACTTTTTGTTACTCTTGTTTTTTATGGGCAAAGGGGCGGTTGGGTGTAAGTGCTTATGAACAAAGGGGGAAACTTCTTTGGGAGTCCTTCTCTTATCTTGACTCATGTGAACCCATATAGAACCCATATGCAAGTACATCAGTCCTCTTAAAAAGCACAGACTCGGGATTTATCTGAGGCTTTGCAGTCTCAGTAGAGAAATTTTTCTCATTTTGGGCACAGGTAGAGGAGAAATGGAAAGAAGGACGTAGATGGGTTGTGGTCTTCAGCAACCTTGGGATGAAGCAAGCTCTCCATATAATGCTTTGAGCATTTATAACCAGGTGCCTCTGCCCTGGAACAGCCATATGTCTCTTGCCAACTCTTGCATGGTAACAAGGTGCTTCAGTAGTGCTGAGACCGTATGGCACTGCTCAGTTTGATGTACTTATACAGTGTCTGACAGACTTGGGGGGGCGGGGGGGGGCTGGTTTGTAGTTACAGATGACATGTATGCAGAGCAGACTGAGAATCCAGAGAACCCCCTGAGGTGTCCGATAAAGCTGTATGACTTCTACCTCTTCAAATGGTGAGAGCTCTTGTTCACATGTATGGTTGCTTGTCTTCTGTGACTGTTAAGCTGCGTCTTGTGGCTGGCCTAGTTTTCAGGGCTGTGTTTTATTGCTGGCACAGTTTCTACATTTACTTAAATGGGGAGGGGCGTTGATGTGAGAGGGTGGGGTTTACTCCGATGCACCTAAGTTGAACTGATGTTTAAAAGAGACAAATCCTGATTTGTGAACTGGCTGCTCTTAATTGCATACTCACTCCAGAGGTTTGCTGTGTTGGCATGAGCTCGCTGTTCTGCCTGTGACTCTGCGAGCAAGTCATGTGGAAGCATCCACTATTTGAGATGAAATTAGGGTCCTATTCAAATCGGCTTCTGAACAAAAATGAGGATTTGGTATGGAGATTGGAGGAAGCCTCAAAGGACTCGGCTTTAAATTATGACGATTCTGATAATTAATGTCAACGTTCCTCTGCATATCTGGGTCTGCAGCTAGCCTGGATGTGAAAATACCTCATCCTTGCTTCACTCTGAAAGACCCCTAAAGCTGTGTGTTATACTTACCAGTGTGAAATAAAAATTTGATTCTTGTAGTCATCACCATGGCTTTTTACCCTTGGCATGGCCTAAAAACTTTGGGACCACTGTTGTCCCTAGATGTAACGCCGTACCTTCATTTCTCATCAGCCAGCTGTTCACTGTCAGGATTTGTGAAGTCTGGGGTGAGGACAGTGGCGGTCTCTCCCTTCTAGGACATTCTGTTAGTCTGGTTATTTCTCATCTTCCTCACGCAGCCCCCAGAGTGTGAAAGGCCGGAATGACACGTTTTACTTGACACCGGAGCCAGTGGTGGCCCCCAACAGCCCTATCTGGTATTCCATCCAGCCGATCAGCAGAGAGCAGATGGAGCAGATGCTCACCCGGATCCTGGTGATACGAGAGATTCAGGAAGCTCTTGCCGTGGCTAATGCCAGCACCATGCACTAAGGCATTCTTCTTGGCTCAGAAGGGGTGGGGCGGGGTGATGGGGGAGGGACAAGCAAAGATAAATTGTACAGACTTTTACACTAAAGGAGATGCCTAAGTTTTTGGTTTTTTATTGGTGTAGTTATGAAGCCCTTTTAGGCTTCTTCTCTTTAAAAGAATCTAAAGGAAAACCTACCCATTGTGTATCCTACCCAACACACCAAACTGTTGGAACCATTGGAGGCTGCATATCCCCTGCGAGCTGGGAGCTGTGGAAAGCTGCTGGTTGACTCTGTTTTTTTTATGATGTAGAAAACATGAACTACAGGATTGGCCTGGATGGCTGGGGCCTCTGTCTCCTTGGAGCACGTGCAGCCTAGAGAATGACGGATGGACCTGCTCAGCCAGTGGAGGAGAGGCAGGCATCTTCTTTTCTTGTGCTTGGACGTTAATTTGCTGTTATCTTGGAAGGAAGAGGAGAGAGTGAACTGCAGTTGTGATTTATACAAAAAAAAAAAAGAAACAAACCAACGATTTCTATTCAGACCTTTAAGTGACGTTTTTAGATGTTAAAAGTACAAACTTTACCACACTCTTCTTTTTTGGCCTAACATTGAGGCCTTAAACCTTGAGGCTCCTGTGCCTGATGGAATTCTTGTAACATACACTTGTGTATCATATAAAGATACCACCCTGTTTCTCTTATGTATTCTTACTCTAGTTGTTTATTAAGAATGACGAGCACGTCTTTTCAACATGCCATTGAACAATGTGTCTTTATTTGGGGAAGAGTGAGCTGTGAGGGTGGTGGGGGTCATTATACGAAGATCAGTATGCAAACTGGTTGTTTCCATTCCTGTTTGTGCTTACCAGCTTGTCTCTGCTGGACTTCTTTCACCCCTACAAATTAGGAAGGTAGAAGGGGATTAACTTCTGTTGAAGGGCCTGAATGTCTGCTTGCTGATGGAAGCTCAATGTCAGGCTAGGAACATGGGATCTGTGAGACCAGATCGGACTGTCAGTCTGTCCTAATGTTCTGTGGCCAGCCTGTGAGGCTTCACCCCTAGGCAAATCCCCCCTCTCCCCACCTTTACAAACACATCACACCAAGGGCAGGATGGAGGGGTGTTGGAGGGAAAAGGCCTTTCAGGAGCAGCACATGGCTTACTCCTGCCATTTAACAGCCTTTTCACAGTTTTTAACACAGATGTGTAGCTTCTGGCATCCTTCATGATCGTAAACCCCAGCCCTGTAGCCTTGCCTTGCTGCATCTTAAATGGTTGCTGTATTTTATATCATTAACAAATAGTCTGCTCTTTTGAAGCCAGCGGGTAGCCAACCGTGCTTGAAATGGGAGATCACTCTAGCCAGGCTTGTTATTTGTGCCACCAGCTTCTTGGATGCAGAGAGATGACTCTGTTTCTTGAACTTGTCTTCCCTGCTTCTCCATCTCATGTCCCTTCCCTGTTCCAAAATATATAGATATATATTTAAATATGTATTACAGTAAAAAAAAAAAAATTGTGTACAGGCAAGCAGTTTTTCTGAAGCTTCTGTTGGCCAGCACCTGTCTGTATTGAGAAGGAAGGTCAGCCCTCTGTCAGTTGTGCACAGTGTAAATCTGCACATAGGATGAGAGTAGCCACAATGTTCCCTGTCTTTGTGCTCTTGATCAGTGTTGAGGTGCGTGGGCTTAGGGAGACTTCGAGCCTCTGGTGCTTCGTGTTGACATTGGTGTTCATGAGAAAGCAGATATGTTTGAGTTGGTTGTCAGTATGAGCGGTTTGTTCCCCGACTCCATGCTCAAATAAGTGCAGAGAGGTGGCAATGCACTGTTGTTTACCAATACCTGTACTCTGAAGTAGACTCTTAGCCGAGTGGCTGCCCTCAGAGTTATGCCAGGGGAAAACAGCCTGGGGTTGGTGTCCAGATCCCAGCGGGTAGGTTGGGAAGACGGTGCCTGGGTGGCTTGTAGTGCTGGCAACGTACCCTCAGCTCTGTTCAGCAGTTGGGAGCCAGCAGTTGCCCTCTGGTAGGGTGGCTGCTGGGATCACTAATACTGCTTCAGCTGTCAGAAGCCTGTAATCCCTTCACCATATCTTAGTGACTGGAATATCCATCTCTGGCCCTAATTTAAGTATTTAAGGACATGGTTAGGGATAAGCTCCCACTGTTTGAAACAGCTGGGTGTGCTTGTTGCTCAGGATGCCCAACAGGCGTACATAGAGTGGATTTCCCATTCTTTTGGGCAGTTTGTCCTGTCTTCTGAACAGTGTTGCAAAGATGTGAGAGAAACTGCAAACACCTGTGCTCGAGTCCCAGTGTGTGCTCTGCAGTACTGCATGGGATGCTAACTCCAGCATGCCACACCTCAGCATGACCCTGCTGCTTTGTCCGTCTCCATCAGAAATGCAGTGGATATTGAAGTCATCTAGTCATCTCCTAGATACCCAGTGTACAAGTCGCTTCATTAGGTGGTCTTGGGAGTCACCTCTTACTCTGAAAATTACCAGAAGCTGGAAGAACTTGACAGAACATTAGGGCAGTTCCAGGTTAGGGGTGAACAGATACTTCAGCGAGCTTTCTGGGGAAACAGCATTCTGTTTTACCTTAAAACTCTAGATTGTTAACTTTCCTTACTACCCTTAACTGCAGGATGATCTAAAATCTTTGTAGGGGAAGAGTTCTCCTCGATCTTAAGAGCAAAGGAACTTGGCACATGGTGAGCTGTGGAGATCTCCTGATGATTGGTTTTGTCCTGAGAGACTGAAGTGTTTCCATTATTTTCTCATTGTTCGGACGTACATAGGAGAGGGATTTGCTGATGCAGAAGTGGACTGCCGTACTGTTCTGTACTGTCTTATCAGAATGTCCACTGTGTTAACTTCATTCCCTATTTTTAGAGACAATCGATATACTGTGACTTAAGGATTATTTTCCTGGACCTGGCTTCTACTCTGGCTCTCTGGAGCTAGTTTAAAAGGTACAGTATTTCTAGAATATAAATACTATGTTCTTTGATAGCGAAGAACACGATCTGCTCCCTTTTAGGGGCTCATAGGGAGACGTGCACAGAGTAGCACAGAAGAGAGCTGTGGCTTAGGGTTGCTATCCAAGTTTTGGGAAATGTTCCCAGTCAAACATGTAAAATAGCTTTTTAACACTTTCCTATAACCAGCTTGACTGCTGCTTAAAGGGCATTCCCCCTTGGCTCCGAGAGTGCCAAACTGCTAGCTCTTGTATGCGTGTGTATATTAAACGAGAACTCTCCATGCCCTATGCCTTGTATGAGACAGGCTGAAAATGCATCGATCTCTAAATAAATAAAGCTGAGAAGTCAAGCTAGAGACCCTGCGTTGTTGGTTTCAAACTATGCCCATCTTGTCTCTGTGGTATGAAAGGAACCACAGAAAGCAGAGCATGACTGACAACTGTAAAGTACCTCACGTTCTGACATGAGACTCCTGCATTGTCCTATCTCTTGTCACTAATAGCATTGCTTTCCTAAGGAAACTTGTAGCCTCTTACGTACTTGTCCACAGCACCATTAGATTTTAATTTACTTTCAGGAGTTCAAGCATTTCCTCTAAGTGGTAATGGCTGAAGCAGCAGAGAGCAGACTAGAGAGTGGTTCTTCACTCCTGTCTAGTGGTGAGTAAAGGGAAGAGTCTAAGTAACTTAGCAGGGCTCTTATCTGTTGGCTGCTTCACCCCTAGAGATCTGGATTTTAGATGGGATACAAGGTCTGAAGTAGTTCGTGAACTGTTCTACCTTGGACTGATTTAAAAAGACTTGATCTGATCCCTCAATAAGAATCCTCTTCTGCACTGTTGCTCCTGGGGCAGAAGTTAAGACAGTCTTGTTCTCACCTTCATCAGGGCTACTGTCTGCCTTGGTGTAGGTAGAATGGATAAGGCCATCTTCAGGCCTCCTATGCTGTGATAAGAACAGATCTAAAAGCGGTAGAAAAGAGCCCTCTGAGCATACATAGGGTGGAGGACTTGCTGATACTGTAGTTGCTCATCCTCTTGCTGGTCTGATTGACTCTGCGCAGTCCAACCAAACTGCATTCTCATCCAAGTTTAATAGTGACTTACTTGCAATTAGCATCTGGACTTTTAAATCACTGTTAAAGTGGGATATAAAGTGTCTTCCACCCTATATGGGGCTTTTCTCCCCATCTTGCTGGAGCTGCTCCTGTCGAATACTACAGGGAACGTATCTTATCCTGATGTTTCAGCCTGTTCTGTTTCACTGGTGCCAATGCATAGGAAAGAGTCCTTCTCAGCTTGAGCATCTTCCTACCTTAAGGAGCATCTCAAATCTTCTTCCACAAGTCTCACTGAAATGCTGCCCCAAAATCTCTGAAGCGATTGCTTTGTCCCCTACTTGTCGGTTCCCTTTGTTGCGTGGCTGAAGCTTGGCTCTCAGCACTGCAGTCACTTCCCCTGTATAACCTTGTGCATGGCAACCACGTTTGCCTGCTTCTCCGTTCTTGTTAGAGCTCATCAGAATGGGGAGGCAGATTGAACCCACTTATAGCAGCAATAAACCATGTCTAGAACTCGAGAGGGAACTGCAGGAGAGGATGAGGTGGAGAGGATGTCTCGGAAAGGCAGGGTCCAGTTGCAGCCCAGAGCCTCGCTTGATAATGAGTGTGCAGCCTATATGCAAAATACGTCTTGTCTGTCCCTCCCGTGTTGACCCTGGTCTAAACAGCACATGTGATTGGCATCCTGCAAAGTGACCTTCAGAACTCTCCAGTAGCTTTGCCCCGTGAGTAACTCACACTACAAATCATTTTAAAGAGATGCACTCAACTATTTTTTTAATTTAATTTTACTCTTATATTCTCTGCTCTTTGTAATCTGCTTGGAAATAAAATGTTTTTCCCTGCAGCCTTTGTTGTAGTCTGTTTGAGAACCATTAAACTTTGTCTGGTGTTTCTATTGGAACAGAAGCCAACTTGCCTGTTTACTGCTGTGCCTGTGCTCTAGCGTAACGGCTGAGATCTGTGTGTGCCTCCCAGGTAGGCTTAGCAAACCTTTGTTAATGCTGCCCTTATTTAAAATAAAGGGTAGAGAGACCTGCTAAACTGATCTTGGTCTGGCACGACGCCTCTCGTTCTGCTGATCCTGTGACAGGTAATGCTGACTTGAGAGTGTGTCCTTGGCAGGCAGCATTTTCCTGTGGAAGGCTGCATTTCTGGACCCTGCCTCTGTGATAAGTATCTCGGTGTCTTTACTGGTTACAGCTTTCGGTGGTGTGAGCCTAGACGCTTTATTTACCGCAAAGGACAATGCTTCTCCTACAGCTCCCCAGCCCAGCAAACTGCAAACAATGGGAAATCGGTGTCTGGATAGGTGAAGTCAACTTAGCTGAGAATCAACCCAAGAATTATGCAAAGAAGTAAAACCAGGATGAAATGGAATCTTCTATAGCAGACTGTTGGGGAACAAGAATTGAAACCCTGTGAAGTTCAGAGCATAGTGTAACAGCAAGCGCTGTTAACACGTGACCGTAGGAAAATGGTGTTGATGTTGCCATTCACAGTAGTAGTAATGGGATCGCTACCTATCTCTTGGCTTGAAGTTTTAAGTGGCATTGCAGATCCTTGTTGCTGGCTCTTAACTATCCTTGGGCTGCCTTTTCTTGGTTACGTGAGGGCCCCTGGAAGCTGCACACCCCCTTCCTCACAGCACAGTGAACATTCCTGCGCTGAGGCATGTGCCTTCCTTTCCTACTAGAAACAAAACAACAATCTGGTGAGAAACGGATATAACTTTTAGAAGCTGCAGCCTCTATTCCGTGCAGATTACTGCTGTCGAGACCAAACAAGCCACTCTGCATCCCAGAGAGTCCTCCTTCTGTCCACAGTATGGTTCACTCATTTGGGTTCTTTTCTCCCCTGTGTAAAAGTCAACATTAGCATCTACTAAAGCCTAGCTTAACCCTCTAAACCCTGTGCTGTCTTTTGGAGAACCCTGCACAGACCAAAACGTGTTCATCCAAACTACAAGACTGAACCTGACCAACAAACGTCACAGTATACAAGGGCCATCTGCTTCCGAGTATTTCGGGACACCTGAACAGACATATCTGTTCTCGTTTCCCATGTCCTACTGCTGGGTAACATGAGTAATGCTTAATGTTTTCTTAAAGCTATTTTCTGATCTTTAGGCAAGGATTTAGTCTACTGCTGGAGGTACAGGAGCATCATTCTTTAGTTCCCTGAACTTGTTATTGTTAAATACTGGGTTGTCTCAGAGATACTGTCATACAAGAGCAGGGTGAGAGGATGTCTGTTCGCCTCATTTCCCTGCTGCTCTGAGGTCAGCTCTGGTGTATCACAAGAAAACCAACCACCTGAGGAGGAGGTTGCTCTGGAACTTTTCCTGACGCCCAAATGGATCTGCAGGGAGAGGAAGCTCTCATCCTGCAAACAGCCGATGGCTGGGTCCTGCCCCTCTCCTGCAAGGCAGACCTGTGTGTGCCCGCTCCTCCCCTGCAGGCTCAGTCCTCCCTGCTTCTGGTGCTGCTCCTCTCCACAATCCCTCCTCCAGCCGCCCGGGCACGAGGGCATAGGCCTGAGACCCCAGTGTACAGCGCGGAGCGGCCGTCCTCCTCACGGCCCTGGTGTGCAGGGCCCGGCCTGCTGCCTTCGGGGAGAGGGGCTTGCGTGAGGCATCGCCTGCCTGGGCGCGACTCCCTCTCTCCTCTGTGCCTTCGCTCCCTCCCCTCGCCGGGCTGTTCCCTCGCTCCTGCCCCTCGGCTGCCATCCTTCCCGCAGGCCGCTCCTCGCTTACGACGTCGCTGTGGATTCCGCGGCTGTTCCCGCTCTCCACCCACCACAGACCCGACAAGCACGTTCTCCTCTTTCCTCTGAAGCTGCTGGAGCAATTCCGTGCGGAACCCAACACCCAACCCGCCGGGCCCCACGGCCGTTCGCTTTCTGCTCTTTTTTTGGGTGATTTTCTGGGCGGGCCTGAAGGCCTGAA